TTGCTCTACATTTCTTGATCACTACCTCTATCTAATGCATATCCACCTAGGTTATTAGAACCTATAATTTCTATTAACCATGGGTTTTTGGAAGACCGACATATACATATTTTGGGGCTTCATAGATAGGCCAGTTTTAGTTTCGAATCCTTAGTACACTAAGGCTTTCTTGTTCCCCGTCTTTTCAGTTGACGCTTTAGATTGATGTCTCATAGGTATTTCACCTTCCCTATGACAGAAGAGCTTGGCGGAAATAGTCTGGAGTTATGAGCTGAATTCATTATGTGACACTTTCGTAGTTTCGGGAATAGCAAATATGGGTCAACTAGGTAGATTCGATGGTGTTCGCATGATAACAGAAGAAGCAAAGCTGACTGACCGGTCAAAAATCATATCTGCAATCTAATCGTTCGATGCTTTACATGCTTTAGTCACCATCGAATGATATACGTTTCTGTTCCACGACAGGTTCTAAACATTCTTCGTTCCAAGGTTACTATCGTCTATTCGCACCTAAGTCTAAAGCTACCTAGGTAGGTAACTTCGTGTCAACTACGGAATACTACTTCGTTGTTGTATAACTTGGATATAATTAATAAGTGCTTCCACCAATGGTATGATATTCCTACGCTATAGGTAGCCCACCTTATTAACCCAAGTCAACTGTCGTCCAAGAACGATTGTTACGATTGTTGATAACACCACCTTGCAGTAGTTCTAGGCCTTTATCCAATGAGCCATTGAATTTGTATTATTGATTAAGTTCACTACCTCGACTTGGGTCTATCCAATATCACGTGGATCCCAATTCTCAGGAGGTCGGTTTATTTCCAAGGTGATTGATGTATCGCCTGCATATTGGAACATCCAGCACATTTGAATTGCGTGGCCGACATGTGAAAGTCGATGCGGTAGAAACAATTCGATGCACTCTGCAGTGTCCAGACTCGTAGTGTCACCCTCCGGAGTAACTACAATACGCCATGCAGCGTTTCCCGCGGTCTTAGCAGCCACGTCCGACATGATAAAGTGCATATGATATATTGATTCCACTCAAAGCCACACTTCGTCGTTATTGGAACAACAACATACGGGGCGCAAGTAGGTAAAAATTTGAAAACATAGCATTCCCAACCACATGATGCACGATTTAGCATAGCAGGCCGTATTCGCGTTCGATATCAAAGGAATATTCCGTCTTGGAACACGGCAGCCATGTCTACCTAGAAATGTGGGTTTGTTGTTTCTTGTTCATATGACTGACAAAATTGTTAGCAAGAAATTCGGATGGAGTTTTTCTGTGGATTGCCAAGAAGTGGTGGATATGATATCGAGATACTTATTTCAATAATAACCATGGGATGGGTTTTTTGTATCACGATTGAGACGAAACACGTAAATAAGTAATCCATAGTTATATATTAACTATTGAATAGTAAAGTAAAGATGGTTACCCAAATACAATAACATACATAGGTACATTAATCTTCAACCAACAACATATTTTCGTGGAGATGCGGCGTCATTATTATGTAGAGCCAAGGTTTAGTAAAGAGTCTTATTAGATCTTTGAAAACTTTAAGCAAGCCCTTATTTCCATTGATTTGGTTGGTTAATGCCGGGCTTCGAAGAACATTAGGTGTTTTTCAACGTTGAGAATGTAGGGGATAACCGGAAATCGCCTCAGGCTAGATGAGTCCAGACAATTGCCTCAGAAAGACTCCAGGATTTCCCCAGACGATTAGTCGCCCGGTTAAATTATGTAAGTGACGGTACGCGGCTTGTTTGCCAATTCGTGGTGTTTCCGCGGCGGCCGGTTTGTCCCGATCGTACGATGCTCAACGCATTGGCACAAAAAAACACACCATTTGAACCCACTTTCAATTACTATGCATTTCGGAGCATTCGAGTGCATCGAAAAATATGACTCTGAAACTCTCTGTAGTTTTCTTGTGAGACGAGAATGGCTCGGTGGTCCATAGTTTGGTAGCTTGGTCAATAAACTCTCTCAGACCACCTTTCGGCATGAACTGGGGATCTTGATCACTCGATCTGGATATATAACCAGATCGATCTAATCATGGATAGACTCTCTTTCTTCCATCCAGCACATCTACACACTACTACAGTACCACCAACCTAGTATCTTGAATACTTAAAGATCTTATCAAATATTACCTACCACACATACACATACAACTAATTCCTAAAGATGGAGCAGAAGTCCACTTACACCACACAAACTAAGCCCATCGCTATTCCAGCGCCGAGCAAAAATAACACAACCTCGCGAGAAGTCCAAACATTCTCATTCGAAGTCGGCAGTCCAGCCTTTAGCGATTGCGAGTCAGCCTTAGACGAAGATGAGAACGCCTACGACATGTACCACATCCCCTCCCACCACAGGAGAAATGCGCTGAGCTTCGAAGACGGCTTCGAATTCCCCGTCTTTCTCCACAGAAGAATGTCGGCATAAGTTTAATCGCCTCTGGGGTGATGGAAGCCCGGCGTTTCAGCTGGTCTCGACACGGCAGAAGAGGTCGTGCACGTGTGCTCCCGGGGCCCATGCCGCCGCTAGTATCGTCAAACAGCAGACACTAGCAGCGAAAGATGTTCTCGAGGGAGCGGGTCGATCAGATTGAAGCAGGTGGATATCAGCATGATGCCGTCGCAGCATTGCGTTTCGGTTGTTGATAAGAAAACCCCTGGATTCGAGTATATAAATAGAATATATGGGCGGCGAAACAATCTCGCCGTCTGAGATGGGGAAAAAAAAGGGTCACTTAAATTATGGCGTTTTGGAGGGGAACAAAAATTCGGGAAGGTTATTCTGGTTAGAAGCGTGGGGCATACACTGGGCGTTATCCCCGAAGAACAGCTTCACTTTTGGGTGTTGGGTAAAGGGTGTACTATCTATCTATTCAGTGCTGCTTCATCATAGCAGTTTTTGTACGAGTATGCGGCTATATGCTACTTGCCATTGTAGCCGCAGTAATGAATGAGACAACTATCAATTTATTCCATGATAGATTCATCCAACCAAGTTCGCTAATAAGCCCATATTTAAATCTAGTGGTGAAGCTACCTACTATTGGCCCGTATTGTATCCGAGGCTTATCTCCTTTTCCTGTGCCGTAGGAATGAATGTGCTATAACTAATACGGAAATTCTCATGTACCCGTCCCGGGATTATCTCCACTAATCCCGACACTTACATCGACTTCATGTAGCCTCAACTTAAAGCATACAAGTTTTGGAGATATGATCTGTTAACGGAATACAAACCATGATGGCACGTAAAATTACCTGAGCTTGTAGCTTTTATATTTGTAAAACATGTATATGCTAACATCTCGTATCCCTGAGTAAACTCCGTTAAAACCATGCTACTTTCATATGGTAAGAGGGCATACTTGGAAAGTAGCCACTGTCAACGGGGTCCGCGGCTCATCTCACGGGGCATTTTAAACTCCACAAGGGCTACGGGTATGGGAATAGGGCAAGTAGGAAGTCAACAATATAAATAAGAAGTGAATACAGGCCGAGAAAATGAGCAGTGTCAATTCCAAACAACCGCATTCAATTAATATCATACCAACTTTACAAAGTATCTTCACACTTGTCAGACATTAGCATTATATCGGTACGACGTTAAGATGACAGCTACAACCCACCCCGAGTTCAATGAACGAACAGAGGCATTGGACGTTGCCAAAGCTTTCGCTGGCGAGATCCGTGGCAAAACGATCCTTATAACGGGCGTCAATGTAGCTGGTATTGGATTTACTACTGCACAAGCTTTTGTAGGGCCACTTCTTCACCTGTCGTTATATATTCTAACTTGGAATACAGGCTTCTCAGTTGCCGGCTCATATCATCCTCGCCAGTCGTACTCCATCCAAGATCCAGGAGAGTATCGACAAGCTAAAAGCCGAATTCCCCAGCGTAGACTATCGCGCTCTCATTCTCGATCTTTCCAAGCAGAGAACTGTCAGAGCCGCCGCCGCCGAGCTCCTCTCGTGGTCCGACGTACCAACTATTGACATTATCGTCAATAGCGCCGCCATCTCTAATATTCCCGAACTCACGATCAACGAAGACGGTATTGAGATCCAGTTCGCTACTAACCACATCGGGCACTTTCTATTCACTTGCTTGATTATGCCGAAACTTCTCAAGGCAGCAGAGGGCAACCCGAAAGGGGCGACCCGCATCATCAACGTCTCGTCGCTCTCGCCCGTATCTGCGCGCATGCGATGGAGCGATCTCAACTACGAAAAGAAAAGCAAAGAGCTCCCCGAGGACGAGCGGCCTTCCTACGAGATGCACAGACGGTGGGGAACGGTAGATGTTGAAGAGAAGACGTATCTGCCGCTTGAGGGCTACAACCAGGGCAAGGTAGCGAACGTGCTGTTCAGCATCGCGCTGAATAAAAGACTGTACGAAAAGCACGGGATCTTGAGCATCTCCCTGCATCCTGGAATCATAAACACGGAGATATCTAGAGACGCTCGGCAGGAAGTAAGAGACTTGATCGGCAGCTGGGAGAAGGAGGGGCAGCTTTACTTCAAGACATTAGGAGCGGGAGCAGCAACAAGCCTTGTCGCAGCTCTGGATCCGAAACTAGGCCTTCCGGAGACCAAGGGCGATAAGGAGAACTACGGAGTTTACCTTGCAGACTGCCAGATTTCTGATTGGGTGAACTCCTATTCGACCTCGAGCGAAGGAGCCGAAAGGCTATGGAAGCTATCCGAGGATTTGGTTAAGGAGAAGTTTTCTTGGTGAAGCAGGGAAGGGGTTATGTTGGTGAGAATCAACTACCTAGGTACCTTAGGCAGTATACTCATTACCTGAAAATTTACTTGATGTAAATAGAGATCATATAGCGCCTAGATAAAAATGCATGAATATCAGCACGCATTATCAAGTGCAAACAACCTCACCAGCGGTGCACTAAGATATAGTAGCAACTAGCTAAAGTATCAGAATCAGCAATATAAGGGCTCATGGCCTAATGGTAAGGCGTCAGATTTCGGTTACACCAGAATTCTCCACTCTCTGAAGATTGCAGGTTCGATCCCTGCTGAGCTCGCTGATTTTTTTGATTTTTTTTTCCTCGTTGAATTTAGCTACGTATATTAACATTTACTCCTCTAGTCCAGGCTTAGGTCTTAAGCTATTTAGTCTTTAGTGTTGATGATCCACAAATAAACGGCGTTTAACTGGCTTTACCTGGTGAACGAGGTTAACTAGTATAGTTGGCGCCAGTTAGTTAGATCTCATTCCCATCAGCCGAGCTGTGTAAAGGCGTATAAGACCTGCATACATGTGATTTTTGATTGCAAACGACGCTTTTAATAGTTACCATACAGGCGAAAATGTACCTAAGGTTTGCGGAATAGTTTTAAACGTAGAAGGGTTCTACTATGCATATTGGAGGGTTCTAAGGCCTTTGATTACCTAGTTGAAAACAGGTAAATAAAAGTGGACCCACCGTAAAAATGTCCTAGAATTCAGTTTTTCAAACCGTAACAACCCCTTGCGCCACACTGACTGCTGATCCGTGTGTTTGTACTCGTGGGGGCCATGCCCGGCATGCTCACTCACTACTATGTACATGATCCTATTGACGTCATGCCCGGTAGGATGCAGCGGTACGGCATGCACTATGCAAGCCAAGGCAGGGTCCAATAGCTTCCCCGTAACGGCGGAGCTGACAAGCTGACAAGCTGACAAGGAGCCCTGTAGCGTTAAGAATCCTTTGGATTTTATGCATTCATGTGTGTAAATGTACTCTTAATATCAGCCTTACAAGTAAAGCTGCGTGTCATTATTGCCATAACACCGTTGCGTAGCTTATATATTCACTATATATTCACACATCGTCGCCCCAAAGCTAGACTTGGATTTCTTTCTCCTTTTCCTAATATCTCTTAAACTCTCTACCCAAGTCAATCAACGCATTTACCACCAACTCCCGTGATCGTCTAACGACAGGCACGTATAAGTTTCTAGCCATAGTTCTTGGATTTTTCATACTTATAACAGCCGATACATTTTGCAACACAAGTTACAGGATGTCGTCGCACAACAATCCAGAGCGGGAAGAGCCTACAAAGGAGGTTCCGACAACAGACAGCGAATCTGAAGTGGACGAGGAAGAGGAGATGAGAAAGTGGCTTTCGACGGCGTACGAGGACAGCTCAAAAGCGCCCATGAAGAAGCCTCTCACAGCACCTCTAGATGTGCCCATCAGCGATTCAGACTTGGAGAAGATCAAAGCCGGATGCAAATCGAAAAGCATGGACGACAAATGGAACCTGCTGGTAGAAAATCCTGATGAAAAGGGCGGCATATCTCTCCACATCATCCGAAGCTGGCTGGACGAGCCGTGCTACATACTTCACATAGCTCCGAAGTCGAGCAGCGAGGATGGTGGGAACGCAAAGGTCCGAGGCATTACTTGGGAAGGAAACAAGGCGGGGTTACAGTGCGACGCGGAGCAGGCTAAGAAGGAGGCCGTGATTCTGTGCAGAGGACATCTCCGTTGCGAGTTTGAGGCGCTCCCCCAGTACCCGTCCTCGGCGTTTTGGGATCGTAATGCTTATAAGAAGATAGATGCAGAATAAGTTACTAGTGTCACCCCCCAGAAGACCACTCAGCAAGCATGGAGTAGTTACCCCATATTTAAGCTATTATACGATAGTTGGGTATTTTTTGTTGAGATGATGTTCAATCTTTCCTAAAAAAAAAAAAAAAAAAAAATAGCTTTAGCCTGTCCTTGCTAACTAATAATGTTATGCGTCCTTATACGTCAGTCTTGTGTTTTACCATCAGAATTCTTCAGTCCTATGAGGATTTTGAACTTCAAGGAGAAATAGAAATATAACATACGATACAATTCATGATGAAATGCGACTTGCTTAAAACATATTGCCATTTTAGATTGTCAACTAACTATGTTGTCCTGAATATTCTTTTTGTTTATTACAACTACAGATGTCATCATGTTCACATTGAAACGTAACTAGCATATTTCTTGAAAATGTTAGTCTACCTAAGGTTAGGTCGGTAGGTAACCATAACAGTTTCTTGTTTATCCACGTCTTACTCGCCTGCAAATCAACTAAATCACGGATAACTACCATACAATAATAAGCACACCAATTACTTTAGGCAGCGGAACAAAGACGAAGGCTGTATTTTATCAAATTTATTGGACTTATAACCGCTTGAACTAGTGAGTCCGATGAGAAACTGCAGGACTAGTGTATAAGAATGATAGATAAGTGTACATCAGAAAAGCAAGTATTCCTATGCATACACGATGGTCGAAGCTGCTTGCAATCTAGAGACTCCAGCGTTAGGATAGGCCACCTTAGGACGGGCAGCCCAGGCAGTTGCATGCTGGAATCAACACCGACGGCTGAATTTACGCTGCGAACGATCGAGCCTTGCGGCCACCACGCTGGTTGTCGTATTCTTGCCTGGTCATGGTAGCGACGACCTTGTTCCTCCTGACGGTGTCCCACTGGATGATGTTTTCCCAGGGGATCGAGCCCTTCACCGCGATCTCCTTCTCGCCGGGGTGAGGGTGCTCCTCGTTCGCGTCCTTGAAAGCTTGGATCGTGTCGACGGTGTCGAGGCCTGACGTGTCGATGTAGTAGACGTAGATGTCGTGGGGGGCTTGGGCACCCCTCTTAGCGATGTTGTAGTCGGTCGTGGTCGACACCCATGGGTCGTCTTTTCCCAAGGTGTTCTTGACGTGTTCGATGACGGAGCCGTCGCCGTGGGGGTTGTAGCTGTTAAGGCCTCCGTCTCGCTTGACAGCCGCAGGCGCGCGGTCGTCCTTGCGGTAGACCTCGGCAGCTAGGGCAAAGCCTAGCAGCGCTAGGAGAGAGATAAAGTAGTTGGCAAAAGAGTGACCCAACATTTTGAGCTACTTTGCTTGGCTAGTTGCAAATGGTTGAAAAGTTAGGAAGCTAGGACACAAAAGAGCCTGAGTTGGAAGGGAGTGCCAATAGGAGATGGATGGCTTGGTCTGGAGATCGTAATTGCTCAAGTCATAGAGAAACAACGGCTTCTTATACTCTTTAGCATCTCAGTTTACATGGCTACGTGCTAAAGAGTCGACAGGGTATCAGACAATTACACCATCTTTAGACTGATTGTAATTCAAGATAGCAAGGCTTGATAGAAGGATCAAGTGGAATAAGCACACTACTCGCTCGAAATCTACAGAGGCTGGGTGAGATTGCACCTAAGGTAAGATGGCAATGTCTGCTAGAAGGATTAAGTGGAATATACGATGATCAGCAAGATTTTCAGTCATGATGTACAAAAACGGCCATGCAAGAAGGGTTTATTGCATGGGATAAGATTCCAGTATCTGTATATACCTTAGGTACCTACATAGTATAGGAGCTCAACACCGACAATACGGGTTTGCATAAAAAATTTCGGCATCTCCTGACGGAGCGGCACGGAATGGAGAATAGGATCCCTTGCCCCCCACACGAACACGCGAACACGCGAGCTTGCCGATCATCTACCGAAAGCTTGTCGAGGCTTGTTTTACTATTATACGTGTATAGAATTCGCTAACAAATGCTTGTAGGATGTAGAATGGGGCAGTGGAGACACTATTGCTTTGCCATGCTTTACCATGCTGACGGATTTGTACTTTTGCAGCTACTTTCGCGGCTCATCTACTCCACTTGGGGCTGAAAATGGGTCATCTACCCGCATGGGACACCCCACTTCGTTACCAGGAATAGTTTTCATATGTCATACGCGTATGGTGAGGCTCTGGGGTTTGGGGTAGCTAGGTAGGTAACTTGGGTATCGATTATACGATTAGGTAAATTTAATGTGTGAAAAGTTCCTCAAGATGTCTACACGTACCAATAAGTCTTATGTACCTATGGTTAGACCCTGGATTCGCATTTTGTTACATATAATTAGCTATCGTTTACGAATAGTTTATACGTACCTGAAGCCAATTGAAAAGTACTAGTTATACTAGTTAGGTAACTTATACTCAATGTTCTTTTTTTATACTGATCAGCGTTTCGAATTAGTACACACTTTCAAGCACTACACTTCGGTTTAAAAAAATTTCCATTGGCCATGAAAAGTTCCCGAGTACTGGCAAGCACAAATGCCCGGCTGGTAGGTGACAGATCGTCGTCGATCACGGGTATTTCGATATTAGTCCGTCCGTGAAGGATTTAGGCCTGCCCCTTCTTTGGTGCGTACTTTTACACCGCCTTGTTCATGTATTGTACTTTTTTATTTTTTATCAATAATGATATGGTGTAGCTACGTGCTGGGTGAGGAGGGGTCGGTCAAATAGTTCCTGGCCTAAAGTGTAGACCCAAATGCGGAGCCGCATTAGGAGCAGACAACTCTGCTCACGGCAGTCGGTCGGTTGCTCACTTCTGTCGACTGTTAAGCTGCTCCACATATCGGGGGGTTTCGTGTGCTCGCCTTACATTGTTTCCACCCGCCATGAGGCACAGATGTAACCCCAGAAAGCCGACTAGAGATGCGTCGATACCTACTGGATGCGGGTGTAGATCTCAATGCTAAAAAGAAAAAATAGGTGTAGAATAGCAAAGGTCCTGTGCCAGCGAATTTGACTGGGATAGCGGATTGAACGGTACGCTTGCTAACTGATCGTCCTGAGCTGGCGGAAGAGCTGAGGGATAGACAGCTTCAGCTCTTGCTACCCGATACATACTGGCCTTATTGTTGCTAACGAAAGAATGTTGATCAGGAGATTAAGGTTAATGGGGTTGCAAGAATTATTGTGAAAATTTATTGTAAGATTACATCATGAAGGAATAGAACTTAATCTTTAATTTGTGTCTAATCTGGATCGTGTAACACCGTTTGGTAACGGAATTAAAAATATGTTTTGCATTGCATCGCTCTCATTCGTGTATATGACGTCAGTGAACGGACGTTGAATTAAGAAAAATTGACCATATTATGGTAACAAGCCGTGGTGTAAGGCAAGGGCGCGGCAGTGGAAAGGAGGCGGAGAGGAATAGCTGAAGTGGCACAGCTAGATGGTAAGAAGATCCTAAT